GTTAAAAGATACCTCATGCAGGTCCATTGCGGTTTTTTAGTCAATCCGAAAGGGCAACTGAAAACGAAATTTCAATGAGAAATTCGGTTCTTCTCCCTACTCTTTTTTTTTTTTTTTTCCTCCTGGATGGTACTATTTGGCTTTAAAATCTCAAAATCAATCATTCTTGCCAACTGCTTTCTGGAAATGGAACACAACCTTGGAAATGTGTGGAATGTGCAGCCCTGCCTGCATGCTAAGGCACCAGCCAATTTAGCGTTTACAGGAGTCTGAAAATTGCCCTTTTCCAAGCTGGAAGAGCCTGAAGAGCTACTTGAATGGTGATCTTTGTGTCTTGGTCCAGCTGTTTGCTGCGGAGTGCTGGGGGCTGTGGGTTTGGTCTGGTGCCCAAACCCACAAGGCCTGGACAAAGACACCGGGCGAGTGTGATGCTGGGTTTATTTATACATAGAAGGCCTCGTGCTGCAGCTGTGGGGTGTACAGAGCCATAATTCAAACTTCTTATTATGGCACCTAGTGTCAAGTTACATATCTGCTACTGCCCTCTAGGTCCATTAGGAGCCATCTAACAAAACTAGGTGCTGTGCACTGGAATATAGTAATGCTTCAACGTAGAAAAAACCCTCCGGAAAAGGCCGGTGATGGTTAATCTAACAGTTTGCCTAGCTACATAGGTGAATCCAAATGCAGTAACTTCCTCAGCCATGATATAAGCCAGTAAAAGCTTTTAGCCTTAAATACTAATTCTTCAATGAACAAAAATTCAGATGATTTAACAGTGTCTTAAATGGCAAATTTTACTCATGACATAACCCTGGGCAAATCACTTCATCTGTGTTGTCGTCTCCTGGACTGGAGGTGGCACTTGCTGTTCTCAGATGGCTCTTGAGCTATTGGAGGAGTTCACAGAAAGTGGTGATGTGGCAAACTGGACTCTCCTGTAAGATACATCTTAAATAATATGCAGTTACATAAAAGAATGCAGTATCATAAGAGATACATAAAGCACAGAAACTTATTCGCATTCCAAACAGCAATTGCTGGGTATTTTAATTTGTATTTAAATATTAATAACACTTGCTTTTTCTTCTGGTAAATACTTCATAATTAGTGCCAGATTTATTGAATTATTCATTTTTAGACATTTCCAGTTTTCACAGCAAGTTCTTTTTATTTTTTTTACTGCGAAAACGTGCCTTATGACAAACACTTAAGCATCATTGTATTGACACCTAGAAGTGTTACAAATATTGATGCATCAAGTCGTCATTGCTGTAATGCTCTGCTGCCTCTGTATGTTTTTTCAGATAAATAAGAGGACAACTGTTGATGGTTTTTCAGTGACATCTGACATCACAGGAAGCCTGGTGCCGGCTTGTCTGTTGGTGAGAGCCACATTCATGACTCAAAGCCAAGCTGCAAAGGGAACATTACTGTTACAAACCATAAAGGAATGAGCATGATCGGGAATAAGAATTCCAAATCAACAGCAGCAAGTGTTGATATATTGAATGCTGTTCCCTGTGAGTAAAACCCTAGCCTAGCCATCTGGTCAAAGCAGGGTGCTGTCATTTCCTGATGTGCTCTAATTTATAGGAAATCACCTGGCTTTGGGGCCAGAGCATGCAATCATGTTCACAGATTTACTGTTCTATACTCTTCACAGATTTCAGCTATGGCAGTATTTGCCCAAGCCAGTGTGTTGCTTGACTCACAGTAAAGCAGACAAGGTCTAAAATCCACAGAAAAGGAATATAATTTGTGTTTTAAATTCTCAGAAATCTGAGCTAGTAATGAATGATGTTTTGGAGCTTTTTTCATCTGGATGAAAACTAAGACATGAAACACAGTTGTAGTTCATACAAGGAATATAAATGTCCTCCATAAGTTCCTAGAGGTTATTCCTAAGAGTCTTGTATGATGAAGTTCAGGGAGTTGCATTAGGAATTCTTCAGTAGCATAAAAATACATTTGTAAAAAAAGAAGCTTTTCATATAGAAGTCATTGTTTCCTGAGGTTTATTTGAAGCTACACCTAAGATTTCCAAGCGTCAGGCAGTATGAATTGTTAGAACATCAAATGCACCAGTACTGAAGCAGGATTGTCTTGATGTACACAGAATCATCAAAATGAAGGTCTTCTGAATCTTCAAAGCTGTTTTCTCTAGCCATTTTCTTTATTTTGCTAACTGCATGTAGTAGATAAAATCAGTGCTTAATTAATGGTATCAGATGTTAAAAGGAAGAAAAGCACATCACTTAAGTGAACAAATATACTTTGACAATGTAACACATTGGACTCATTCATGTGTTCCACTGTTTTATTTCATGGTGCTATTGCTGTCAACAAATGCTGAATACATGCTTTGATCTGAACTGTACTGCATCAGATGAGTGCTTAACCAGCATCTGACCAGAAATTCCTTAAAGCTAGTGTCATCTGTGTGTGGATAACAACATACTCTGTAGTTTTACTCCAGAGTAACAACCTCAATCACTCTGAGATGTGCAGACCCCTAAATAGATGAAGGTATATTACCATTTCCTTTAAAACCTTTGGGAAGGAGTGGTGTTCCTGGTGACGATTACTTTCAGGACCTGGAGATGACTCTACTCAGTGACGGCGAGCTGCAGACCAAATCCAGATATGTTTGCATTCTTATATTCACTGTCTAAATCCAGACTTCAGAAAAATAGGCTCTCTTACAGATGGGACAGGAAAAGCACACATCCAGCTAATCACAGCCTTCGGATCTGGACTAGAATCATTCTCAGCATGGAGCCTCTAATCACAGATCTGGACTAGAATCATTCTCAGCATGAGTTGGCCAGAAGACAAAAAAAAAAAAAAAAAAACTTGGGGAAGTTCAAGTTAATAAGATCTAGAGAGAGGCTTTCGTGATGCATTCAACCTATATGTTGCTCAGCTGCCACATGTGCTAACTGCTCAGCTGGCTCCCTCCTCTTGTTCCTTTTTATGAACTCATTAGACTCGCTGTAGTGGCCTGCATGAGCCTGAGATGTGCACTCAACAGGCTTCTCAATTTTTCTCAGGTGTTTCTCAATGGTTTTGACCATTGTAACTAAGTTTCCTTTCTTATCAGAGGAATGCATCAAATGTTTAAGTCTCAGAATGGCAGAAACAGACAAAGGTAACAACATATGCAAAAATTAAAGGAAGTTTGAAAATATGTAAAATACTTCTTAATATTGTAAAACATGACAATCTTTATTTCCAAAGCTTAGATTGATATAATAGTTCATGGCACAGAGAAAGCAGAACAAATCTAAAATGACTTGTTTGTTACTCACTGGCAATGTGAATTATGTCAAGTTCATACCAAATATGTGAGTGCCTTAGTTTGGAAAACAGGAGACATTTGGCACTGCTTTTCCTTTGAACTCTGCACACTTTGAAAACCTAGAGTCCAAAGACACGTACTTCATTAATGTGGTCTGATCTAGTGTCGTAGAGTGATCAAGCAAGTTTACTTTGCACTTAGAAAATGAGACAGTTATAAAGAAAAGTGTGTATTAATTCAAAAGCTTCTATGCATCAGAAGTAACTGGTGACCCATCAAAAGTGGGTATATTCCAAGCACCCTTTAATTTAGGATGTGTGCTTCAATCCTATTCCTCACCGCACCAAGAGGAGCTGAATTCTTAGTGTAACAGAGAGCTGAGCAAGTTTTTAGTTGGTAGGTCAGTTCCAGCTGGGTCTACCACACCTTGGCACATAGATATAAAAGCAAAAATCAGCATTGATAGTGGAAATGCTTAGGATTGTTTAGGTTAATTTATGAAATATGAAGATAATTCAGTCTCTGAAGCTCATTCCTTGTCAGTAAGAAGTTTCATATTTTGCTAAACTATACATTAGGTAGATGAACATGCCAAAGCATTGTGGAACACTGAAGGATACAGGAGTATCTCAGCGAGCTTAAGAGAAAAGAATCTGCGTATGTGGTTTCTTTTTTTTTTCCTTTTTAGTGAAATGAATAAAATGCACTGTAAGATAACTATCTTTGCCTGCAGTGTTTAATCAAGCTAGCATATGTTACCTGCAAATCTCACTTTTGATGTGTATCTCTTCTGCATTTTGTCTTTTTCCTACTGCCTAATTTTCACTTCCTCTAATCTATGCCTTGTTAGTAAAATCCCGTGAGGTGTTCCATGTTCAGGAAGTCCGGAGGAAGGGTCATTGAGATTGTGTGGGATCCCCATGGATGTGAAGTTCTTCAGCCGTGATTTCCATGGATCATCTTCTCACACAGATTACAAGAATAGTCTCTAGTGCTGGTAGGATAAGAAGCACTTGTATCTACCGGCGTAAAACAGCACGGTCACTTGTTTCGACTATTTTTAGGGCCTGTCAAAACAAATAAAAAGACATTATTTTTTTGTGGTTCATGGAGTTAGCCAAATGTTAGTTATGATCTTTCCTCCCCATCCCTGTCTTTTTTGTTGCCTCTTCTTTCTCCTTTCCCAGTTACTGTAATTACAGCTTGTTTCTTGCCCAGTGCTTAATGTAGTTCGTGTTTTTCCCTCTAACCTTGCACTGCATCTGTCCCAGAAGCAGTCAAAGTGAAATGAGGACCACCTGTCGGTGTTCATGTGCTATCCAGCACATCCAGAACTTCAGGTCTTGTGATCCTTTGTAGTGAATTTCCACTCTAGGGAGTAAATTAACCCCCAAACCTGTGCATATTTTGTGGGTATGCACACTATACACGTGATGCTTCAGAGTGCACAAGCAGCTCCCCGTGAATCGAGAGGCACTGTATAACACCAGTGGGGAGGTCTCACTTTGTCACATTGGAAATATGAGGAATTTTGAGTGATGACCTTACTTGGAGAGAAATGCTTGTCTCATTTTAATGGAGACACTCAGATGGCTGTGGAATCCAAACAGTTCAGAGGTTTGTCTACTATGAGAATTACTAAACTGTAAAGACTTGTTTGTCTTCAGCTGCACCCAGAAAAGCCTGATTAGTAATTTACTTACGAGTACCTGCCTGACATCTTCCTTACAACAGCAATTATGATTCCTGCGAGGATTCCAACTGCTACAATGATTCCAGTAATGATTCCAGCAAGGGCAATTGTTTCCAGACCACCTGAGGAGGAAATGAGCAGTTAGCATTTTGTGCACAAGAAAACAGGGGCTCCTGATAGTGCAGATACTTTTCTGCTGCGCCGCTGTCCGTAGGGAAAATGTTTTATCCTGTGCACTTCCAAGCAGTGTTTCTAATTCAGTATGTTGGAGACAGCTTTGTTAGGTAAGCAGGTGAGGCAGATCAGGGAGTCCCATGGCTGTTCCCAAAATTCCTCTCCTAAAGCAGCATGGATATAACTAGTGGCTTCTGGAAGTGTTGCCACCTGGCAGCTAAGTTCTCTTGCCCTTGTAATTCATTATTTCATTTAATACCTTTCTCGGTTTCTTCTGGTTCTCTGCCTGGTCCACCTGCAAAGCCAGAAACAAAATAATTATTTAGATCCTTTTTTTTTTCATATCCTAATTCAGACTATTATATCCTTAGAAAGCTTTTAATTACATCCCAATGGTAGGGGGCCATAGGTTGGTTTCTCCAATAATGAGCAAATGAAAAATTCCAAATCACAGTGAAAGAGCTCTGAAGTAATAAAGATTAAGATAAAAGTGATTGAACTGTACCTACTAGTGAAACTTCACTCTGATCACACAAAGATCCATAAGAATATACCTACTATAATCTTAACTTAGAAATCAGATGTCAGTTGCTTGGGAAACTTTAGAGTAATAAAAGCTTTGCTGTGTTTTCAGTGTATTTGGTAAACTGTTCTTTATCCATTTAGAAAGCTTCTCTCTCTAAAAGTTTCTTGGGTTCCTTATGCAATTTTTTGGGGTACAGAAAATCTGTTCAGTACACTTCAACCAGAGGCAATACATTTGTAGCTGAGCTCCCAAAACAGATGAAATAAAGTTCCTGTTACTTCATTAGTAGTATCTCATCCTAAATGTTTTGCATGTCCTTTAGAAGAAGGTTGAAAATTGCACTTTTGGAAGTCAAACCTAGTAATCATAACTTCTGTTGAATGGCAAGCAAAGATAAGAGGCCTCCACTCTTGGCAGACAAGCTGGCAAAGGAGATGAAAGCAGGTGCGTTTGTAAATGAACTTGGTTGGTCTCGTGAGGGTTATGATAGTGCTGTAGAGCATGGACACTTCATAAAGAAACCAGCCAAAGAAGTGTTTGTGCATAACTTGTTTAGAACTAATTCATTTGAATTGCTTGGGGAGAAGGAATAAATACACATCCTGCAGAATTTCATAGAAATACGTCTGCCACCAGGTTCGGTTTTTCCAGTTTGAAGGAAAGCCTGCGTGCCAAAAGCACCTGAATAGAAAGCTGGCACCCGCATGGCTCAATTCCAAAGTCACGAGTGAATTTCAATAGGTAAATGGACACATCTGAGCTGCACAGAACTTTTCAGTGTGGGTTGTGATCTGAGTTTTAAGTTTCTTCTTGAGGCAAGCATGCTGAGGATCTGCTGGCAGTACCTTTGGGTCTCTCAGATAACTCTAGGTGATAATAGTATAATGACAAGAAAATAACTTACAGTATATCAGTAAAGACAATGCTTTTACCTTCACTTTCAGTGGTAACTTCATAATCAGGAGTGATCTCGCCGTCTTCACTAGCAACATCTCCACTTTTTGTGGTCATTAGTTCTGCAAACTCCAAGAGATTTGTTACACTGTGCAGTTTTGTGGGCAGCTAAAAGGATTAGGGAAAAAAAGCAGAGGTGGAAAAACCTCAGTATTTTCAAAATAAGCATTTGAATTGCTTGGTTTGCCAGGTTCCCTATGGGTGGATTTTTAGCCTGTCACCTTCTAGCAGCTTGTGCTGAATGACCAAAAAAAAGTCAGTGAGCTGTTTCATCTTCCTTGGTAGAAGTTTAGAACTCAAATTTTCCTTTATAATTCATTCCTAAAATCACAGGCATTACTTAAAACCCAAGACACAAGATAATATAAGGAATGTAATTTCAAGGTAATCTAAAGGACCCTTGATTTAGAATGAGACTCACCAGGGTTGGTGATTCTTCAAACTCTGTGTCATTTCTGTCTCGGAAATCAATTGTTGCGCTTTCTTCTCCTTCGAGAACTGAGCTTGCTGAAATACAAAATAAAAAGTGAAAATTTTATTTGATAATTCCATATACAGGCTGCTTTGACTTCTAACGTATGCTAAGTATGAGCTATTTAATGTTCGTTCTGTCTGCCCACTTAGGTGTGCAGAATTCTTTGGATTTGGATTAACTTTCTGGATTCTGTTATACATGCAGAAAGCTGCAGGGCAAAGGTCTTTAGTACATTTCCCTTTTAGGTGAATGTGGCTATTTCATATTTCAGGTTAGGCGCTATCTTATTTCACTTCGAATTTTTTGTATTTTCCCCTGTGTTGCAGTTGTGTAATTTTTTTTGAAGTACCATTGCTTATGTGGTATAGCTATAGTTTGGAAAACATTCACAGAAATCTCAGTTTTGTTTTGTTTTCTAATGCCAGAAATCTAATTTGCCATACTTCTGATTTTAAATAACCATGCAGTGTCTCCTTTTCTCGTTTTTAGGTTCATGTGTGTCATCCCTACTCCTTGGCACAATAAACACTTAAAATACTGGCCTGCAAAACCCTTTGGTTTTCTTCACAAGTATGCCCAAATTTCATCAATAGGGGAGAATAAGATGGAATGAAGTAGAACATGAAAAGTGGGTGTGAGGATACCTGGCAGTTAACTGCAGATACCTGGAGTTCCTAAATTGGCAGGATTATAATGGTAGGTGAGACTGCTTTCTGCTAATTAGTTCTGCTAATTAGTTCTGCTAATTCCAGATACTAGTGTTTATATGCTAATGTTAGACACAGACCCGAACAAAAACTTAATGCATAAAACTCTAAAACTCCTGGAAAGTTCTTGTCTGGATCTAAACTTAGTACCTGGCTTCTGTTTATTTCAACAATCTGAGCTCAAGTTTGTTCAAACTCTTCTTGAAATGCAGCACAGCACTTTGGTTTCCAGCACAGTGCTGAGTTACCCCTCTCCAGCGAGATCTTTCCTTTCTACAAGAAACCAAACACCAGGAATCTAAACTTAGATTTCTGACTCCATGTTTATTCCAGTAATGAGAATTTTATAAATAGGATTTTATATTTACATGCATTTATTTATAAGGCTCAATATAGATACACTCTCTATTTAAGAGCAAAAAAGAAGGGTGTGGAAGTTGCAATTTAGGCACTAACAGATGAAGAAAGTGTATATGCCAACATGAGGACTAATATAGCTTGGATATAGCTTCCTACCTTGAAATCCCAAGGGCTGCAAGGTCAGTGACAAAATCCCCAGCTTTGGTTTCTAAAGTAATGCCTTTAAATCGTAGCATTTTGATTTTGGTATGTGTATGTTAATTGTAAAGAGAATTGCATTGCCGCTCAACATGAATTTTAAGGAAAGTTTGACAATGCCTGTTAAAATTGAAAATAAATTTTTATTCACTTACCACAGAATAAGCACAGATGGAGAAAACTAATTATCAGAGGAAAAGACAAACGTCCATGTACTAAACTTCCCTTCACAACTAACATCTTAACTCAAGGAAGCATTCCTACTGTTGGCATGGCAGTAGCTTTCAGCCCTGAAGAATTACAGATAACGAAGGTGTCAAAGGAAACGGTGTTGTAGAACAAAGGGGTAGGGAATTGAACAGTGCAAAGCAGCATGAGGGAGAGCGTGGTAACGATGTGGAAGATCCTTGGCAACGTGTGACGTGGAAGACCCGTTTGGACTGCTGAAGTCACCACGGAGCAAGGCAAAGGAACAAGCAGGTACCTCCGGTGTGGCCTATTGCTGATGCCATTCGATATGGCCCAAATGTAGAAAGAACCATGGGGTTAAGTAGCACTTTTGATATGTTTTTAATGTTACCTCAAAGAAGCCTGTAAATAAAAGCTCGCTGTGCTGTGATTGTCCCCAGCCAGTGCTACCACCTTTTCTGTTTGCACTTAGACGTGGTTGCAGATGTGAATTAATCACCGTATTTCTATCTATCTGCCAAAATTCCAGCTGGGTCCATTTCAGTTCAAAGTCCCCAGCTGCTATCAGGCTGCAGCGTCTCACACCAGGGGAACATCTGATGTCTCTCAAAGTTTAATATTGCTTTGAAAACACTGAGTGCTTGAACAGCCCATGACCCGCTTGTGGAAAGATGATTTCACTACTCATTGTTATTCAAAGAGTGACAGTTTACTAGAAAAACCTCTTAGGGTGGCTTTCAAAGCACAGTGGTTATGTTGGGCAGGAGAGAGAGTTGTGAAACTGTTGGTCATTAGCATTTCTTTCAGGTAGCTCCAAAACCAACAAAGATGCTTTTGAAAATGAAAAATATTAGAGGATCTTCCTTCTTTCTCAGCAGTTTGGATAATCCCAGACACCAGTGGGTTTAGGCAGCCTTGCATCCATGTTTCAGCTTATCCTTGAGGCAGGAGCCTTCCAAATGGAATGAGTTTCAGCCTCTCAGATGAGTAGGAGAAAACTGCTAACCTTAGAGCCTTCTCTAGATATGGAATCAAGTGGGCCTGGTGCCTTGGGAGGTGTCACCCTTTGCTTTGATGTGATATTGAACCGATCAGGGTTTTTCACAAATTCTGGTTCTTGAACTATTACAGACCAAGTGGCAGAGCCGGAAGGACTCTGCACTAGCTGTGCTCTTTGGCCGTATTTTATTTAGGTTTTATGTTTTGATAGAACTCCCTTTCTGAGGAAACGTGCTTAATTTTTTGACCTTAACTGGGGTGTGAGTAAAGTGAGTCTTGCATTTGGTCTCTGCAATTCCTCTCAATTAGGATAAGGATTTTCAGGAATTAAAGATGTGTCCCTTTTCTTGTAGATTGATTCTTCAGCACAGTCAAATCCAGGCACTAAAATATGAATAAAACTACAAAATTTTCTCAGATTAATTTTAAAAATTTGTGTTTGAGGAAGAATGGGCTTGTTACTGACATTCTGGATTTTGAGCCTTTGGACAGTTGTATTTTCAGTCTCTTAAAAGGTTCGTAATTGTTTCTTAAAGCGAGGACTGAAATTCTCCTTTGTACCTATGACTCCTGCAAAATTCCTGATGCTTGCAGTGTCCTGAGAGCTTGGTGTGACTGGCCTGTTTGAGGCCACAGTAGCGGCATTTTCTAGTGTTTTTTCTAGTAGTTTTTCTAGTGTTTTTTTCTAGTATTTTATGTTTTTGTTGGTTCTTTTGGGGAGTCGGGGCAACGTGTTGTGGCATGATTTGTGTTCTGGGCTACCGAGCGCCCGTGTTATCCGCAAGAAAGCCCGTCCACAGCCTCATCCGAGGGCCTGCTGCCTGTTCCAGGTGTGAGCATGGACATTCTTTGTGGACTCAAGGCAGCTGAAGCCAAAACACCCTAGACGGGGGGGCAGCTGAAAACAAGGCTTTGGAGCACAAGGAGGGATTCGCGTGGGCCCCGCTCCGAGCCCGCCGCGCCCGCCCCCGCGGC